GCTACATTCTTCACAAATGTTACCATCTTTATACCGCATTTATGCTAAATTAAAAAAATTAATTTCCATCTTGGCAAAACACTTTGACCATTGTGTGTTTAATGGGGTTTCCATTTGAGAACAACAATCATTAGTCTCTAATATGTTTCATACTTCTGTGGAAATAAGACAGGGTAGAATAAGAAACATTCATCTTCACTAGTCTTTGGAAATATCCAAAGTAATTGACTAGCTCAGTCTTCTGTGATGGCCTGGTGACCACTAACTGTGACTATTTGCATAATAGTCAACTCTTCACTTCTGTAGTGATAACTGTTTGTATCTGATTAAAATTAAGACTGTTTTAGTTCTCTTGACTTTTCCAGAAGTTGCAAAAATTGAGATTTGCTGTTCTGCTTTAACCAAACAAATGCACACATGGGGATAACAATATGCTGAGTTTATGCAGATTTTACAGCACGAATCTGAATAAAATACCCACTAATAGATCCTTAAGGAGTAATAAACACACATGAATTTTCCTTAGTTGCACTTTAAAGTGATTTTAACATACTACTAGACCTTAACAATAATATTTAATTGACAAGATTATGCATTTGTATGGATTGAAAAGGTAGTAGATATCTAATTCCAAATGAATCATAAATTTTACTTTTGCATAACATGTTTTATTAATTTCTTTATGGCCAGGATATTCTACTTCCCTCCTGGTGAGCGTTTCTTAAAACACAGTAAGATAATTTAAACACATTTAATTAACATTTATCATCCATTTTATAAAGTAATCTGACTTTTGTCCTCATAAATACTCTCAAAAATTTTCGGAGCTAAAGACCATAGGAAGACTATGGAAAGACACCTAATGGAATTTTTGTTATAATTTAGTTTAGTTTTGTTTTTTAAAGCAAATCTTTCCTTTCTCTGTTGACCCTATTCCAAAGTAAGCTTACAAACTGATAATTTATACTACTGTGTAAGTGAAAACAAACCTAACCCCACTACCTGATAAAATAAGGCTATGGACTTCTCCAAGGTAGCTTTATAGTCCTAGTGCCTAGCATGCTTGGTGCTCAGTAAATGGATGTTGAATATTTGAATGAAGACAAGCACTACTGACTTCTCTTATGTATTAACTGTTTCTTGGGAGCCTAAGAGGTCATTGTATATGTGTGGAGTTCTTTATTTCAGTGAGTAAGAGAACAAATAAGTAAGAGATACTGAGGTACGATTACGCTAATGCTAAACCTATGTCCTTTTCTTTGAGAATTCAATATTTAAACGTACAAATAAATGAGAGAGACTATAATGATGTTTGATTACTAATGATTCTGGTAGGTTAATGAGATATTTACCCATTAGAAAATGCAAATAGAAGGAATGTATACAGTATGTTGAGAATATGAAAAAAGGAGTTACCACAAAGGTCAGGATTGGTTCTTTCAGGGCTAACATTTCTCTCTGAATATAAACCTAAAGAAGATTTTTTTTTTAAATGTGTACTACTATCCTAATAGATGAAATCACTGTGCTCTTACTGTCAATGGTTATTTCCCTCTTGTGTAACCAAGGAAGGGAACTGGGAAGTGCTAGACTGTGAAGCCAATTTGAAGTAGCTATCTTAAAGACCAGTCCAGTAAAAAGCATTGCTTTTGTTTGCATGTATTACTCTTGGAAGTAAGGGTAGAGACATAGTAAAGCTGGGGACAAGATGTGTCTTTTCCATTCCCCCTGTGACCATTTTAGGTTTTCTATTAAGTATATTTAATAAGTAAACTACTGGAATGATTTTCCCTTTTTCCTTTAAATTAAATTTTCACTGAAGTATATAATATACATACATAAAAATATGTGTCATAAATGTAAAGTTAGCTCTAATATTCAAACTAAAACATATGATTTTGAAAGATTAAGGCCTGAGTTTTTTAAATGATGCCTTTAAACTGTAATATCTTGAGTTTATCCTACCTTTTCAGGGGTTTTCTTGTTCCTTTAGTGAGGATCTTGAGAAAAGTGGTGGCAGCAGCATGCAAGTTCTAGGAAGAAATTGCATATTAAAGGGCAATGATAACAATGGTAACAAAGTAGTATATTATCCTTGTTTGGGTTGGGGGAGTTGGGGAGGGAGAGAGAGGGAGAGAGAGGGAGGGAGGG